AACATCAAGTATGCACGATTGTTTCCAAGCTTTCAATCCAAATGTGCGGAAGTTGGAGAATCCACATTGTTCACCACCAAAAAAGAACCACTGGAAGAGATCCCCACATAAAACTAATCGAAAAGAACTTCATGAACCCATGAACCTGCATCCTACAAAAGGATTGTTACTAACCGCCCACATCCACTAGGGTTTCAAGAGGGATATTTTTGGTAAAAAGAGTTATGCATTGAGTAAAATTACAAAATTCAAAATTAATTGGTGTGTGTATTGAGAGAGAATGTGGAGTTAGATATTTTGGTGTGTGGAAATAGAATTACCCATACGTCCCGTCTTTATTTGTACTGGAGAGAATTCATTTCTTATAGAAATTAGATTTGCACGAGGAAGAATCCATTTCTTATAAAAAAAAATTTAAACAAAAATTTTAGAATTAATTACTTAAAAGTCCTATTTATAAGTGTTATAATAACCCAGGTTCTGTTTAAGATTTTTTGAACAAATAAATCCTATTTAGTAAAACTGAAAATATTATTAGTTTTTCTCAATTTTTAAAACTAAAAATATTATCAATTTTTCATAATAATATTTCAGATAATTGTTTGACTAACTAATGAAAAAAAAAACAGAGCATGAGATTAAACGTTTTTGCCCTTGTGCTTATTGGTTTGATTTAACTATCCAATAAAACCGAGAACATGATCAGTTTTTTCCACTTTCAAAACTGAGAACACTATTAGTTTTTTCATTTTTTTTTTTTCACATCAATGTTCCATCATCATGCTCCTTTATAGATACAAAATTTTCAGTTTCGCACAAAAAATTAATTCCGTTTTTTCAAATTTTTTTTAAAAAAAAATTAGTTTTTTTTTTAAAAATTAGTTTTTTTTTTCACATAATTTTTTTTTTAGTTTTTTCAATTTGAAGTTAATATTTTAAAGTTTTAAAAATCAAAATAAATGTCAAATTATCATGTTCTTTTATAAATAATCATAAATGATGAACAATCATTGTTTGACAGCCAATTCCGACTATTAAAAATTTAATGGGACTTGAAAGTCTAAAAAATCTTAATTATGACTTAATGGAGTATAAGTTCATAAATTTGGACTTATGTGTAAATGTCCCAAAATTTTATTTATATAACATTACTTATAAAAAAATAAAAAATAAAAAAAAAGCTATTAAAAAAGATAATTAAGATCTAAATATAAGTTATAACAACGAAGTCACAAATATTCCAAGTTATCACAAAGGATATCATCTAAGTTGTGTTTGGTTGAAAGATTTTAGAAGAAATTTAAAAAGAAAAAGAAAAAATAGATAAAATGTGAATAAAATATATTTACATTTCATCTAATTTCACACATTTTTTTTTCTTTTCTAATCATTCTCCAAATCTCCCAAACCAGACACAACCCTAATACGTTTTACAATCGAAGACTTCAGATATCAACAAGTCAAACAAAACAGTGAGACACACTTACAACTTGTTTGGATTGTCGGATACAGGATAAGAAAATTAAAATAAAAATGATTATAATATTTTATTTAGGTTAAAGTTTTTTAAAATATGCTTTTTCACAATTATATTTGGATAAAAAAAAAAGTACTTGATATAAACATATGAGTGAAAATTCTTTTACCTTTTTTGTATTTTAATAGATAATTTCAGTATTATAAAACTACACAACTAATCAATTTGTTTAAGTTATATTTAAATCATGAATTTAACAGAAAATTTAAAAAGAAAAAAGAAAAAAAAAATGAATGAAATATAAATTATTTTTATTTTTATTTTTCTCTTGTTTTTAAAATCTATCCAAATTTACGATCTAAACCTCATTATTTTTTGGTAAAAAATGAATAATTGTAAATTAATATTGTGTTTGGATCATGAATTTGAATAAATATTTTTTTAAAAAAAATAGAGAAAATAACTTAATAGTTAGATAGAGAAAAATAAAATACACAAATATTTCAATTGCACTCCTATGTTTTTGTACTTTTTTTGTTTGTATCACTATCAAGTAATTCCCCTAAAATTATATCTATATAATATGGCAAAACTGTTTTTAAAAAATGTCCTACGTGTCATATAAATTTCAAAATGTCTCTCTCTTATATTTTTGTTTAAGGGCTAAGATCACTTTAACTATTAATGGAATGGCTGAGATCATTTGTCAAGAATTTGATTCCCACCCATTCCTCTCCTCTCTCTCTCTTTTACTTTACCTTTCTTTTCCCTTTTTCCTCTCATCTGCCAGGACTTTCAAAAATACCCAACAACTATGCTCAATCTATATTTTCAACGGAGACGCGATGAGCAACCAAATTGGAGAATCTAAAATGGTAGCTTTTTGGACTAATTGGAGCAGGGTCATCACAGTCAACTACGTTCATTGAGTTCTCAATCGGCTTCTCAGTAGCAAAAAAAACTTTGGTTTCTCTGGTTTCTTCCAAAACCTCAGATTTCTTCGATTGCCCAGGGTTCACATATGTATGTATGTATGTATAGATCTATGTTTTTGTTTAATTGATAGGTATTTTTCACTCATCTCAGGGTTCATGTATGTATGTATATATAGATCTGTGTTTTTGTTTTTGTTGGTTGATTGTTTAATTGATAGGAAGGATCTATTTTACAGATTTGTGGTTGCTTTATCAATGCTTGGTGTTGATCAGAGTGGACAATTCGGGTTGCCAAAGCCAATCAGGATTTGGTAACTCATCAGTTAAGTAATTTTTGGGTTAGGTTTTAATTTGATTTTTTTTCTTTCTAATTTTTGTTGGTTGATTGTTTAATTGATAGGAAGGATCTATTTTACAGATTTATGGTTGCTTTATCAATGCTTGGTGTTGATCAGAGTGGACAATTCGGGTTGCCAAAGCCAATCAGGATTTGGTAACTCGTCAATTAAGTAATTTTTGGGTTAGGTTTTCATTTGATTTTTTTTCTTTCTAATTTTGACAATATATTTTTTGACTTTTTATAAAAAGATGTACAAAAAAATAATAAAAAAATGTGACCCAAATAAATACACTTATTTAGCTTATGCCAAATAATGCTTAGATTTTATAGAGCAATAATCATTTATTTTTACAATCTATATAATAAAACAGGACGGATTTTGAAAATATATAAAATGTATCAGAGATACACTTCATTTCAAGGGCTCAGATCAATTGTGATACACATCAATGGTTGAGATTTTACTTAAATTCCCGCCCAAACACTCGGAGCTCTCTCCCACCTACCCACGTCTCCTCCCCCGTTCCATCTTTATCTCTTCTCTATTGCACTTCTCCTCCCATTCCCTTCTTATCTCTATCTCCCTCTTTGTTTCTCTTCTTTAACAGAGACGCTACCTCTCTCCTTCTCTCTCACCCGATCTCTGCCTCTCGCCCCACCCTCCCACTCGCTGCCTCTCCCCCTCTCCCTCCTTTCGCAGAGTGCCTCTCCCCGTCTCCCCAATCGGGGTTCAGAAAGGTATCGCGGTTCTTAATCGGAGCTACTTCAGAGCCAATATCAAGAGCCCAGAAACGCTTCTTACTCTCTTAATCGGTGCTGGATTCATCGATCCTTCTCCTCTGTTTTCTCACTCACTCAGGTTCGATTCATTTTTTTTTTCTTCACATGATATTATTTTACAATTTTCTGCCTGGTGCTAAAAATGGAGATCTGTAGTTTTTTGTTTTTTATTTTTTTGCCCTTTTTAATTTTGTTTTTGTTGATTTTGCTACAAGGTTTGTTTGTAATTTGTGCATTTTTTCATCGGTGATGTCGAAATATTCTACTTTTGATTCGTCTTTTGGAAACCCCACCTGCAAATGGTACTTTGATGTTTTGGGCATTGATGTTTATTTTTTTTCTTTTACACTGTTCATGTTATATATATTTTAATTTGTTTTTTAATATGATGCATTGATGCTAGAACTTGCAGATGGTACTTTTCTTCTGTTAATATTTTGGTCCTTTTAGTTTATTTTGTTTGTTTTTTCAAACCTTTACCTTTGGTTTTCCTTAAAATTTTCCTACTTAATTTGAAATGAATTATTCATTCAAGGTTTAATTTGATGACAATTTTTTTACTTTTTCATTATTCCAGCAAGGATTCTACTATAATAACTGTATGTATATCAATTAGTAAGGGAAAGCTAAGGGTAATTGCTAGCTTCTTGTACTGTAACCTCATTGCAGGGAGCGCAATTTATCTGTATTGATTTTGCAGTTGTTTGGAACCAGTTTTGTTTTAGTTAGAAAATGATGGTTCAGAAGAGTGCAGAGAGAGGAAAATTACTAAAAACATTGAAGTTTTAAGAAGTTATTAGTGAGTTAGTTGTGCACTGTGGCAAGGGACCTTTAATTTTCTGAATTTTTATGGCAAATGTGTTCACATCCATGTTACTAGAAAATACTAATATTCTAGCGAATTACTTATTAGTATGCATGTTCCGAAACATGGTACACTTTCGTTCCAAAATTATAAATTTTGTGGTCCGAAGCGATTCCAAAAGTTTCTGTAAATGTATTTCCTTAAATGTTTTCTTAGGAGGAAAAAAATCAAATATAATGAACTAAAATCAAAAGTGGACTGTTCTTAATTTCTGGTTGATTTCGGCCAGAATTTATTTATGCAATTTTTATTTCAATTTTATACATTACATAGGTATGGTAATTCTTTTTAGGTAACAAACAATGCTGTTTGGATAGATATGTAGTTTTTTAAGTAGACAATCAGTTTGTTTTCATGTTATATTGTCTGAGGACATTTGATCACAGGCATGGTTTTTATTTGTGAAAATGTAAGGATCAAGGTTTCCATGAACCGTCTCTGCCACTTTAACAACCTCCTATTTTTCTACTATTTTCTGTCACTTTCTCACAATTTCTTGGGCTATCTACTGTTAATTTCTGAGTTCTGATTTCTGAGTTCTGAGTTCGTTTATCAAATTCCTATTTTTCTACTATTTTCTGTCACTTTCTCGCAATTTCTTGGGCTGTTTTGCGTTCTCTCTATCGGGTTTGTCTCTATGGTTTAAATTGATGTTGGCTGCTATGATATACCTAATGGGTTCTTCCAGATTTGATTGTCCCAATATTGCATTAGTTTTGTTACTCATATTGAAATTTTGGAATCATATGTAATGTTACTCGTTTTGATTTCTTTTTATTTCTTCCTTTGATGTATGCATATTCATTC